AATAGCGCTAATTTCCCTGCCATGCGCATATCTTTCTTTTTCGTGGCTGTATCCAGATTAGGGCATCATTTTGTCCGCAATATGCTTATAGACTTTTCCATTCAGCATTAACGTAAAAAATAAAAAAGCCATCGTACCATCTGAAATTGTTATATATAATTGTCTTGGTATTATAATCAAGTTTATAATAAGTGTTTCCTTTCCGATAGCATAAACAAAATTAATTTTAGGAAATCTAAATTATTTTATCTTTTTCTGAAAGTAGAATAAAAAACGCAACTAAAAATCAAGTTCTTTTCAAATAATAGACAACTTGAATTAATTATAATTAATGTTTATAAGAACAATTTTATATTACTATTAAAAGGAATGTTTAGAGCACTGATTACACTTACATTTCCTGGTTAGCGCTTATTATGGCATGTTGTATTTTCCAAATTTTACTTCCAAAACACAGAAAATACCTTCCAGCCTGTGTTGACACCACGTATACGCCAACGAATCTGCACGGTATCGTTTTCAGAATGCATTGTGTAGGATGTCTTTAGGATGTCAAGCTTGACGTGTGCAAACTTCATATGACCAATGAACCTTAACAGTATCAATTGCTTCGCATAATCCACAAGTCCCCTGCAATATTTTTTAAGCATATTATGAGAAAATGGAAATACTTAATGCTAAAAACTATCAATTGCGTTGAATACTTAATAAAATTAATTTTCGTTACTCCTCTAATATTGCTGATAAAAATTATATTATAATAATGGATAACAGGGACTCAATTCACAAATATTTTAGCATAACTACAATATAAATTGTGCTACAGAACGTTTCCTCGTTCTTTTCAACTTTTACAATTTACAACACAGCTTATACGTACATACATGTGCAATTTTGGATACACCTTTCTTCTTAAAGATCTCTTCGGTATCAGCTCCCTGCGGTCAATATATAGCGGCAAAAGTGTATACCATATAGTTGAATATAAAATGTTCCTGTGTGAGAAAACGAGAGAAAAGGAGGACATTTATAATAGGTAATGACACGCGATACGAACCACGCAATAGTGTTAATTCGGGATTGGGAAAAGAAAGAAGAGGTAAAGGAAAAGAGATTCTTACAATTAGAGGCACTCTGTAGCAACTCGTATTATCTAGCACAAAAGGACCTTTATTCCTCAACAGTGTCTGAGAATTATTATATTTTGAAGACGCGAGATTGTACATTCAAAGCATTCAAGTTAACAAAAGTAAAGTACAATATAAACATTCTTCGGAGAAATTTTTATTACCCGATAGTGCCTGTCACACGTGCATATAACTACAGATCACTTTCTCGTTCTCTTAACTTTTACAACTTTTACAAAACAACACATACATGCGTGTACGATTTTGGATACACCTTCCTTCTGAAAGATCTCCTCGGCATCAGCTCCCTGCCGTCAATATATATTTCACTATCACTATCATCTATCACGCGGCGATGGTCACGACTCTGCCACTGTCACTATCTATTTTTAGGTTAACGTTGTATTCCAGCATAGATCGGTCTTTCTTAACAGCTTCATGCGTCTGTGATTGAGACAGAAATCTGATAAGCTCTGTATACCAGCTCAATATAAGCAACATATATACGAATATGTATATATATTTTAGATAAAAACAGTGAGTAAACTTTTATAAAACAGTACTCTTTGAAATAATACAAGCGATAATAATTTTTATAATTACCTCTCTATATATCTTAAATGTGTATGAATTTTCTTCTAACTATATTTGTAATGTCATCAACACGCTTGTTGAATTTTTGTGCCATGAGCACCAACAGCTAATCCCATCAGATCTTCTCGAACATTAAATTCATCGGTATATCTAAAATAAGGCAAATTTTACATAATACAAAAACAATAATTATTACT